GGTTATACGGAAGTCGATACCAACTTCGTTATTTTAAATGGGACTTCTACATGAAATTTGAGGGTGACTTTATTAAATATTCCCTATACCTAGGAGTTATAGAATTTGAGATATTAATATTTAAAGAAAAAATTTGACAGATGCAAGGGTCCGCTAGTAACTTTTTTTCAGGAGCGTGATATCAAGTGACGTTTTGGTACCTGTAAAGGGATAACATATATAGGTATAGGGTACATTAAATTATGGTATACCAGTTATACAAGTTAAAATATTTAATACTAGGTGTTTCATTTTTGCCGTTACATTTTGATAACTTCAAACAGCTATAACTTTGTCAACTTAAATGGAACACCCTGTATTTTTTATTCTGTCGTTTGCAGATTGAAATTTCTTTTCACGTCATATAATCATTGTTGGGGTTGCCGCTACTACTTTTAGAGATATTTACAATTTTCTATTTTTTGGACACTTTTTCTCGTATCGGACCTGTTGTCAAATTGACCATGACCAGAAACACACCTGTATACCCTACCAGATTCAAAACGGGATATATTCTATATGTTGCAAAATAATGTATATACGCAATGATATAGACACAGGGACAGTATCCGGAATATGTACCATGAATATGCCATTGGGGATAACCGGTGTTATTTTGAAGTCTGCAGCGGTACACTACGCAGTAGTGTATCTGGTTTCGTTAGTTTTAGAATAAGCACGGATAAAACGTGTTGAATGCTTGGCCATGCATGATACGCGCCGTTTTTTGGTGTCTAAAATAATAGCAATTTTGGTCCTTGGAAAACTGGGGCAAATCCAATTTCCAACAACTTCAGTCACAGCTCTCAAAACGATGTAACGACTGACACAACAAATCGTTATTAAACAAAGTACAGTGATTATTCAAAACTAATCGAGAAGCTTGCACGCTTAAACAGGTTGCAAAAGATGTCTTGTAATCGGGTAGGCTGTTTCAAAACTGCCGCATAATTCGTTATTCAATATTCCAAACCAATTAATTACGAATTTCAACGTAATGGCCGTGTCGGGGGAAATTCGGTGGGTTTCTTACTGACGATCCGATAATTCGTTTTTTTCCTATCGGATGGTTTCGACTGAAGAACGGATTTCGAGATTTTTTAAAATCGCCGATTTTGAACGGTGGCTGCTATTTTATATGCAACGGATTTGCTGACATGCCGGGATATATTTTGTAAATGTGTCTGGTAAAGAAGTGACTAAAGAGCGTTTTGCAACTGGATTGTTCAACTGTATAGAAACCTCTTCACGGTTGTGTTTCCAAAAGAAACTCGATGGGACATATTAATCAGTAATTAGCAACGGTCAATAAATAATTATTATTTGTATTCACATGATTTCTTGCTCACGAAATAACGAATTTAGTAATGATTCAGTAAATTCCCTAAAATAAAGTAGATATCGTGATCTTATTTTTTTTATAACCTCTTACGTAATTGTTGCCGTCTTCTGTAGCTTGCACAATAGAATACAGTTTGAACCACTTAAGGTAGTTCATGAAAATCTTGGCAAAATAGGGTGTTTGTTACCTTTTCAGAAATTTCTATAAAATTAAATAACGTGACAAAACACTTGACTCGTATTTTATATTTTTGTATGAAAATATTTAATGGAATTTAAAAAAATATAAAATTAAAAACGAATTTGGCAGACAGTTGTGACGTGCTAGACTATGTCTTGCGTCATCTGTTTATAGGATGTTCAATCAAAATATCACTGTCCTCCTTTTATTTGGTAATAGAGAGAGAGAAAGGAGTTACTGAAATAACAATTTTCTGTAATAGTCACAAGTTGATAACAAGTGGTGTACGATTCGAATAAGAATATGAAAGATAAAAAAAATACGATAAGGACATATTAGCCAGTATAAGTGTATTGTACACTTTGAATTAACATTCATACATATACATATTTTTGAGCGAAACACCAGTGCGAGTATCTAAAATATGGAATAAATTTAGTATATCAAAATTGCTAAAAGAAATATTCAGACATGTCAAAAAAATATATCAATGCATTTGCGTTTAAATACAACACTATCAATTTGAAATATTTATTCCTAGTCAGTTTCAATTTACAGCAATAAATATGTTTTTACCATTCATGTGATTTTAAAAAATCTGCATTATTCAATTAACTTTATTTCAAAACCGTAGCTTTAATTTTATTATATTTGCTTACTACATTTTTTTTAGTCCTTCAAAAATACCAATTTGAAACCAAATTAACAGAATAAAAATGGTAAAATAATATTTAATTTACTGTAATTTTAGGAATGACTAGGAAAAAGTTTTGAAATTTTATACGCCACTAAAAAAATCCAAAATCAAATTAGAGACATAAAAGAAAAAAAATCATCGTTGCGAAAATTTAAGATGTATCCACACACTGATGCACTTCGTATAGCGAATAAAAATGGAAAACTCGATACAAACTAAAGTTTTAGGAAATTGTCTGCATTGTGTTTCGAAGATATAAACAAAATTTATGTTTTTTTTAAACGTACATATTTGCCGCATTTTGAAGTCTACTGCATTTTAACATTTCAGTGATACATATTTACTTTGACACTTTCACAAGATTTTAGATTGTTCCAACCTTCCACAATGGATAAAATTAAAATTAACATGGAACCAGAGCATATTTATGGTTTTCCGCTATTAAATTTACTAAAAAACAGGTCCTTAAATATACTATAAAAATACTATACTAAAAAAGGTGTTTTTAAAATCCCATTGTGCACTAAACGAAGACAATTTTTTGAAATTTTCCTTATGAAGGAATAATTTTATGAGCAGCAATTTGACTTCCATTGTAGTTCTTTCTACGGGGCACTCTGAAAGAAGAAGTAAAACAGAGAGATCTATTAATTTATGTGAGCTAAGGGAGAACATATTTAACGAAATTTAGTACTATCAGTGAGGTGGATTGCAATGTCCTTTGCCTAGAACAAAATAAAGGTATTATAAAACAATATTCCATAAGATATTTTTTCTTAAAAAGGAATTTCAAGATCTGTTTAATAAATATGACCGCGGAAAAGATGCTCACACAGTTGTTCCATGGCAATAATCTTGTCTATGTGTATAAGTAAATAAACCAAAATATTCTACAAACTATCAAAGCAAATATATGTCATTTATGTATTATTGTAATCATACAAAAGATAGAAATGCAAAAAACTACAGACTTATAGATAGTCATTTAAAAAAGAACAAAAGTTTGGATCATATCTTTAAAATTCAACAGTTTCCTAGAACTTTGGTTTTTACCATTTTTTCGTACACAGAAAAGTAAAAACGATAGGGAAGGTGGAATGTTATGTGAATGACTCTGCATAAATTCATTATTAATATATAAATAAAGAAAAGATAACAGTAAAATGTACGAGGTTTAATAATAAACAAAACAGTAGCAAGATGCTAAATCCGGATATAAATGTTGCTCTAAAACCCAAGCTGTTCTTTTATTTAATTTTTTTCAGCCTCTTGCGTTCATCATGAAAGCCATGAAAGTATTTCGATTTTTCGATATTTTATCTACAATAGGTACTGTTGGTAGTGTTTTTTTCTTAATACCTGTGCAAATCTTTGCTTTGTCCATCATTGGCCGATTTCCTGTACTATTACAAATGCTTCAGCTAAAATTGAACTCATTTTACCTCCACTCCACACTTCGTTTCCTTGAGCTCACTTATGACGGTGTTTTACAACAATGGCATTTTGGGCAGTGACCCAGTTTTAATAGAAAACCACTAACGATAAGAAAACATACAAACAAAGCTCTACACCCTTTACAACTATTTTGTGAACAAAAATTGTTGAAATAATTATTGTGTAACTGTTGCAGAAATATATCTGAAAAGAAAAAATGAATAAAATTATTTAAAAAAAAACGAATATAATTGTTCAATACTCCTTTATATATGATACATGAAAGGATATTTATTACATTAGGAAACACAAGTTTATATGCAATTTGGTTATACAACTGGATTTTAATCACAGGTCCGGCTTATAAGTTTTTATGTATATATATTTTTTAAAGGTGTCTGAATTATAGTGTCAATATCAAACAGAAGTGGAACACAAACACAAAACGTATATAGTTTAATTAAACCTTTTCTTAATTTGTCTTCAGCTGAAATTCAAGGTGACCTCAGAAGAATAAAGCTAAAGTTTGGAAAGTTTTAAAAAAAATGTTGAAATTTTAATTATCTACATTTAAAATACATAATTTTCTAATTACACATTCATTTTTACCTTGAAAGTATTCTCGACAGATTTTTCATCACCAGTTCTTTCGGCATAAGAGATTGATCCTTGAATTTAATTGCGGTATTCAAAATTTATCATTGAAATACAAACCCATTCATCGCTATTTCCATATTAACCACTTGCGAGCAAAATAACTTGAGTTTTTTCCATATTCAGTCGCAGCACATTAACTTTTAAAAGTTGTCTCGACGATTTTTTCGTCTGTTTAACCCAATTGTGGGTAAGCCACTGACACCAAACCGACCTACTTTTCCCGAGGATGCTACCAGGAAAGCTATTGTGGTATTGCTCAATTCTGAAGACCGTTTTAACCTATATCCCAACAGCGCGGTGAAAGCACGATCGCTGTTACAAAAATGCAATAAGTACTCCCGGATCGATGAACCGAAAAATCTGATGAACACGCCATTTAGAAAGCAAAAAACTCGGCAACAATACCTCATATTGAATTTGAAACCATAAAATCGAATTGATTATAAACCGATGTAGGTATTGCGAATAGCAACCGTCCATTTCCAATTTGCCGTTAAGGAATTGCTATTACATGATTTAAATAAATGCATTTTTTGGCTGGGGACAGAGTAGGGACAGTTTATATAAGCCCGTCGTGGACCAGAGTGACCATCATTTGCTCGACCACCCCGCCATTCATGCTGTAGCGCACGTAGCACGGGAGAATTTTCAATGTTCAGTCAATCGAGAGGAATCAGCCACAGGCTGGTTTTGTTGGCGATCGTCCTGTCACTCCATCACGCCAGCGGACGATCCGTAAGGCCGGTCACGTTCGGCTACGAGTTGGGAACCCCCATCAGCGATGTCCTTTCCGCTGTGCCGGATCAGGTCGCCGATTTGTCGGGCGCTGCAGCGGAACCGCGTCCGGTTTACGTAGAGTTAGTGAAACAGCCATTGAGTTTGCCTTTAGTGGCCGACGCCGCTGCCGCTACCGCTACCGTTAGTGCCGCAAGTGATGCTCCCGTCAATAGTGCCAGTGAAAAAGTCGAGAAGGTCCTCCGCACGCCTATGGCGTTCTCTATGAACACGGACCAGACGCATGCTGCGTCGGATCTGAAGGAGAAGCTTCAGTCCCAGCATACTCCCGACCAGCAACCAGAAGCTATCGACTACTACAAGTACTTGGCTCGTCTCCAGGACGAAAGCAAGGATTCCGGCGCTGCGGTGAAGAAAGATAACGCCGAGCTTAAGAAAGAGGAAAGCGCCAGCGAAAAAAAGGAGGTTACCGAGGAGAAGAAGGATGGTTCTGACCTCAGAGTGAAGAGCAAACCGAATATATTCTTGAGTCACAGTCCTTCCCATTTCTACAGCGATTATGTCCAACCATCTGTGGAGTTCCACAAGAGCGACAATCAAAAGTCCGAGGATAGCAAAGACGGTGACCACGAAGGCAACGCCAACAATCACCACTATAATCACCACCACAATGAAGACCAGTCCGATGACCTTGGAGGCAAGGGCGAGGCTACTGAGACTCATGAGGAGCATAACGCTGAAAGTCATCAAAGCGGACATCAGAGTGCGACAGAAGAAGGGCAGAAAGAAGAAGTCCAAGCCAGCGCGAGCAATCATGGCGGAGGTAATATTTAAGTTTAACACATGCTTTATGTTTGTTTTTTCTGATACACAGCTAAAATCAGTTTCTATTACCTTGATTGATGATCATCATTGCTTTTAGATATATCCAAAATAAGTTGTTTCTTAAATACCCCTTAAAGAACGTATAAGAAATTCAATGAAGGATAAAGAAGTTAGAAAAATAAAAAACGTAATTTGATCAAAAATTTCATTTAGCCAGTAAAATTTCTTTAAGCTTAAAGGGCCGGTTTGCCACAAGAAGTTTAACTACCATTTAATTAAATCAAATTTGGTTGTCCAGTTTAATCTTTTAATAAACCAACCCTCATTGTTATTAATCTGTTAATTACATTTACATATTAAATAATAATCTCAACTTGCATTTAAATAATATAATATATTTTGTAGAATTAATAGACATACAGGGTGTCCTAGAAAACTCTGGTCAATCAGTAGTCACATATTCCTCAAATAAAAGCAACTGAATTTAAGGCAGCTTAGTCCAATAATGTTTCGCTTATAAGCTACAGGGTGTTAAAATTTTATTTTATTAATATTAACGAATCGACATATGATATCTGATTAAAATTTGGTACATGTTATGTGTGTTAAGGGCACAGAAACCAATAAAATTAATCTATAAACATCTCTTCAACTCCATTAGTGACGTACAGGGGTATCTGTGACCCCTTATTTTTAAAAATATTCACCGCTAATAAATTTCTCAAGGAAAAGCTGATTTGTGGATTCCGCACAAAAAGTGCCTCTTGTAATTTTTTTTCTTTAAATTCTTTGGAAATTCCATTGTTTTCATAAAAAATCCGTGGATTCGTATACCGCTGCTGCAAGAAGTGATATATTTAATGCTGATTTCTATTGTTTTTCGCGCCCTTATAACGTGTACCAAATTTAATTCAGATACCTTACTTCGTTTTCGTATATAATGAAAACTATTTCAAATGTAACACTTAACCTGTAACATTTAAACAAATCACTTATGGACTAAAGAAGATGACTTAAATTTAATTGTTTTTATCTCAAGCATGCATCTCAGCTGTGATTGCTGCATGGTCACTGTTTTCTAGGACACCTTAAACGCAAAGATATGCAAATAACTTTGTGTCTATTCCAACGGTTCAAACTTTAAAATTAAGGAATTTTCTTATAAGAATTTTGCTTATGTTTCAAAATATTAAAGTAGATTAATAACAACAAAATTTTTGGCAGAAAAGAAAATGAGTGGTTGTATATGTAATGTAAATATGAATAATTGAATCAACGATTAAATAAGGCAATGACAGACATAAGTAATATTACACAATAGGTTGATTATTGAGTTTAGCTGTTCCGCTCTGAAAGGCAAACAAGCGATCTTCCATTTGCGCGGAGTAGAAATTATATATTTCTTTCTATGAAGGCGGCGACGGTGGTCATGATGGCAACTACAAAAAAGGCGGCGGCAGGGAGTATCAATCCGTAAACAAAGGCGAATACGGTCAAGTTGGAGAGAAGAAGTACAGCGGCTATCATCACCATGAAAAAGGGGAGAAAGGACACAAAGACAAAGACGATCATATCAACGAGTATGAAGAAAATATAGGTCAGAAGAATGGCCACCACGAAGAGGACGGATACGAGGCCGAGCACCAACACGGCGAGGAAGGAAAGCGCGCTACAGAGGTAATAGAATCCAAATATAAGGATGCCAAGAACTTTTTTGACGTACTTACATTATTTGTTTTTAGTTTCACGAAGAAGGTGAGCACAGTAAAGGACACAGCACCCAGGGAGAGCACAATATCCACAAAAAGGACGAATACGAAAAGAAGCAAGAGTTCTACGACGAAAGTCACGAAGGAGGAGAGCACGAGAAACACGGCGAGTACTTCCATGAAGACGATTATAACAAGGCAAGTACATGATATTTTTTTACATATACGGAATGGAATTTTAATGTAGTTAGCTAGTCTTTCCTGACGAAAATAACAGGTGGAAAATAGGTCGTCATGCATACCCAGCAAACCGCGTCGTTTACAACATATTTTATGAATAATAAAATTTTTCCTGACATTAATCTTGGAAAAATGGTAACAATAGGATAGCGAGACTAACATTTTACGCAGTTGGAAACCTGTTTATGAATTTCTGATTCAATAAAATCGCTACATTTGCGGCATCTTTTATATGCTACAATAAATTGATCAGATTTAAGCCACTTGTTGAAGTTAGGAAATTTACCACAATTTACGTAATTATATTGTCCTTCATAGAACGTTCTAATGCATCTAATAATTCTTGGAAATTTGACATGTATTATTTCGGTGATCATATTTTCATATCAAGTGTCATGAAGGTCATTAATAAATTTGTGTAGGTGACGTATATATCTGCGTAAAAAATGTTATTCTTAATTAAAACGGTTTTTTTTTCAGTGTTAGTTGTGCTTGTTCGTATTTATAGAAACAGCATTTATTGAGTTAAAAAAAATTATTATTATAAAACTTATTTTAATTACGTATAAAATCGCAAATCTTCACAGGGTGGCCACCATAAAAGCGGACACCATCAAGGAGGCGCCCACGAGGAGCACTACGGCAAACAGAAAGAATTCGAGGAAGGCGGGCACGATAGCAAAGACGACGGCCACCAAAAGGCCATCGGACGCGAGGTGCACCACGACCACGAGCAGAAAGGAGGCGAGGAATCGGAGTCTAAAGGAGGAAAGAGATGGCAGTACGAACAAGGCCAAGGCCATGGTGGTGACGATAACAAAGGGGCCCACCAACAACAGGTCGAAGTGGTCGTCGCAGACGGAACAGCCGAGGCCAGCGACAACGGAAAACCCGAAGACAACAAAGGCGCTGATTTTCACATCCATGAAATCACCAACGAGAAGAAACTTCAACAACCCCTCGAGAACTACAACGGTGACCTGGTGCAAGCCACGGAGCTTCACAAACAAATTATCGAGGAGTACAACTATGGCGGCGCCAATCTTGATCAGGGACATGGCAATGGTAATCAGAATGTTGAAGCAAGCCAACATCATCCTGTTCTTGATGCAGGTCATCTACAGAAAGGGGGTGAGTAACAAGTCATTTAAAAAGACCATTCATCCCAGAATCGACACCATTCACGGCTTTAGTTTCAACCTTGTTCTCTTATTTGAATATTGTGCCGTAATTGTGGTCTCTCGCGAGAGACTAGCCATTGCTATCGAGATAAACAAGGCCACCACGCTTCGCATGTGACGTCACTTGCAAGTATTATTCGGTAAAGCAATAAATAGTTAACCATATGGATATACGTATTAAAATTCGATAAATGTGTATTGTTTCGTTTCTAAAGTATATGAAATACAAAGGACAGCTTAACATTTAGTTAGTCTTTTGAATTCGAACTAGATGCATACATTTTACAAGTCTTCCCGTGTAAATGGATTCAAAAACTAATTGATCTTTTATACTGCACCATATGGCACAATAATTTATTCGAAACGGTAATTAAATTGAAATTAACTAATTGAAAATATAAAACTAATTTTTAATGGAAACTTTTTTATCCTCATTTCTTTCGCCATAAAACATAATTTGCGGCACGTCGCTATGATCTTAGTTGTTCTAATAAATATAACACACAAACAAAATGGAAAGTTGACGGATAAAAAACAATCTTTTAATAATAAGAATGTTTAGACATATATAAATAATAAATATTTTTCTTTTATGTGTAAACAAACATAACACTTTTCTCTATATTTAATAGGAAAACTCGCTCAATTTAATATTTACTTACTACAAATATATAATATAACCAAAAAAAAAACGTCATGCTAAACAAACGTGAGTCATGAATTTCAGTGTGGAAAAGTTAGTAAAAAACTTAAAGACACTAGATTTTACATAGTGAAAAAACTTGTAACAAACGTAACAAACTTAAAGTTACTTCCTTTTCCTCACCCCGATCTTCATGTGTCTGGACAAGCTCCATCCCCTCCATGTTGCGAATCTGGCAATGCTAGTTGCACAGCCATGACAAAACTATTATAAAATGATTTTAGGAAATACATAGTTACTGTGTTCAGTTTCTTTATGAACTAATGCTGCGAATTGGGAGGCTACGAAAACACATACATAAAACATAGTCCTTTGAGAAACCAAAAACGTGGGCTTTAGATCCACTTTAACTAATTCCACAGCAAAGACAACAGGTTAATGACTTTTACCATGACCCTTTACTTTTTTATCACACAGCAGATCAGATTCGAAATGCATTGCACTATTAACTCAAGATTATCTCTTCGGTCTAACCTCAAATTTACAACCTGATTTAAATTATCCAAATAAAGCGAAATTTCCTTCAAATTTGATCTATTATCCGGTTATTGAAATAACCTAAGTAATTCGGTTGTCAGTAATAAATAACCGACAAAAGTGACGAATGATGATCAGGAAATACTGGAAATAGCAAGTGATAATCAACTTGTAAATGATCCTAATAGCTTATTAGAACATAATTTATGAACATACAAAAAACTTAATAACAACATACACGATATTAGAACACGAGTTTTAGTAACTAATGTAATGAATATTTTCTTTTAAAATCACTAAATTATTTCAATAATTGTTATGATTTGACTGCTATAAAAAATTATAATAGATATAGAAAATCGTATATGTAAATATCCGTAAATAGTCGGTGCTGTTCGACTGACTGCAAGTCTTGAGAATTCAGGTTATCATCACTCGAATGAGCATACGGTTTTTGAAATCATTCGAATAATTGGTAGTCGGTTATTGAAATAAGTCGGTTATTCCCTTCACTAGAAACTACCACGACTAGTGACGTGTGACGTCACCAATCAAAGGAGTATTAGATGTGAGGCTTTGTAATATAGGTGGTACATAATAATATATAATATTGTTGACGGATTAGTTCATCTAAGCATATATTTGTACCTACAGGGTCTGAAAATCCCCATGGTTCATGGGGCGTTACGTGAGAGCGATAAAGTAAGTCATAGAAATCCGTGCGATAGAGAAAGATGGCTATAATGAAGGCGTCTAATAGTCACCGCCCATTTCGCCCTTCCACAAATAAGAAGTGGATCTTATTTGTGGGCGAAATGGGCGGTGACTATTAGACGCCTTCATTATACCCATCTTTCTCTATCGCACGGATTTCTATGACTTACTTTATCGCTCTCACGTAACGGCCGATGAACCATGGGGACTTTCCGACCCTGTATATAAGCGGGATGGTTTTGGGCTCACTTTTGTCTAGTCTATATTTTACGGCATATAAAATTTTCTTTCTCTTATATTGTGCACAGTATCCAAAGAAAGAAGTCGCTTCAAACATCTACATTTAATAGTTACTTAAACCCATCAATGTTTTATGTAATAATAATGTTTAGTGGGATAAATACAAGGATAATATAGATTATATTTTTAACTTTTTTTTAACTGCCATGAAATTTTGCCATAAAACTGATCCTAAATAATACCGTATATTATTTTGTTACGAACAATCCGTTGCTATTACGGTTTTATGATGTGCCAAATGTAGCTTTGAGTGACATGAAACGTTATCCTTGGGTTGATTTCATTATTGTCATATTTATATTAGTTATACGTAGGAATTGTGATATGTATAAAATTAAATCTACATATTTTAAACTCAACTTTTACACTCTCGACCAATGTTATGCATTAGTAATAAGCTGCACAGCACAACTACTAAAACATACCAACGGCGAAATTGACGTATGACTAACAACTGAATGAAAAAAAAAAAAGAATTAAACAGGACTATACTGTGACAGACATGTAAAATACTGCGTACCTACTGCTTAAAAACTAATACATTTTGACTAAGAATTCACATTTTATTGATGTGTTTCTTTTAGAGATCTCCACTTAGGGTTGAATGGTATATCTCGTTTCTAAGACTCAATGTCCTTCGTCCCATCCCAACTCTAGGCGGGTTCCAATTTTTTTTCTTTTGTACAGACAGAAAGATTTCACTTAAATTCGACTACCTGTATTTTCTCTTGTTGTCATTTTTTTGCATGAATAAAACACTGAAATTACAAACAGTTAAGATCTTTCTTTGCACACACTGATCCCAAATTCCACCCAGCACGGCATATAGAAAGTAGCTAAATTATTGTATTGAGAAACAGACACAGCTTAGAAACACAAAGTATTTACTTAGGGACTAAAATTACTTAAAGTTCATTTTTTGTACATTTTTTCCAAATCACACAAAGCACAGTGTAGAGAAAACATGACACCACGCAAAGACAAAGCACAGCTCAGAAAAACCAAAGCACGTAATAGACCTTTTTAGTAGTGACGCCAAATAATAGGCAACCCCAAAGTGCACATTGTCACGAAGAATTTCTCAATATTTTTACTATAATACTATAGATTGATTTTCGGCCTTATATATAAGTGCCAAGAAAATGGCTTTTTTGTCATGACCTTAAATATCGCGATATTCTGTCTATATTAGCAATATTTAAAAAGTTTCAAGTGACAAACCAAAATAATTACCTATAGAGTTTATATATTTAAATTTATAGAACAATATTGACTTTTATAGTAATTAATAAATTAAAATTATATCATTGTTACTAGCATGCACATTAAAAATAATTTCATGTAAGCGAAGTAGCCTCGCAACAGGATATCATTCAAGAAAAGTTTGGTTGTGGTTAAGAGTACGTCTATAATAAACCACTTGAAGAAAACACACTGACAATATAGTCGTTACGATTTCAATTGGAACCGCATAAAAACATTTAACTCATAAATTCTACGGAATCCATAGACGTACAGAAAAATGTAGCCCTGTCTCGTCTAGATATACCTACTATATTCCGAGCCATATTACCATATAATTACCATCCGATTGTCAAGTTTTTTATGTTTAAAATTGCATTGTAATAAAGCATGTCGTAAAATATCTAAAAATTTATAATTATAATCAGGATAATCGCTTAATTTATCTCGAATCATGTTTAAAGTAGGAACTTTATATTCTTTATGCATATTATAAATTGTGCGCCGCATTACATCGGGTAAAATCGTAAATTTTCTTTAATTTTGTATTTTCGCGTTTCCTCATTGTACCGTGATCAATCCTTCTTTAATTACGCGATAAATTGTCGTTTTCGATATCTTAGTTAATTCGTTAATACGTTTCCTAACTTTTTATCACATCGTTCACTATTTTAATATAATACGTTGACTTTTTACGTGTAAATCTTTGTTTTTAAACTCCGATTTGGTTTCGATACTTCCGACCAGTTCTACTATTTAGGAATTTTCCCGAGTTATTTCGTTACCTTCCGCTTCAGTCTCCAGAGAGCCATGCTAAATTACTAGATAATTACATATAACATTTATTTTAATAACTATACCCTTTACTGGTTACGATATGAACAAATAATATCAATAAATAATAATACGTATTATACCAACAACATACCTCGCCAAGCAATTCTCTGCACTGCACTGGCAAAGCGGCAAAGCTAAGTGAACCCGTGTACCATACAAAAAAAAAATATTTACGACCTAGTGGACCAATACAGGTTTGCGTTGATGACCAGCGCGCCGCCATCAATCCTACCTCAGGCGGACTAGTCTACCAATACCGGCCTCGCCGATTGTTATTCGAGTATAAATTACGAGAAATTACGAGACACATCATGGTCAAAGCATAGGAAGAAATTTCAGGAGAAGTTTCAGGTCCCGTGCTTTAAGATTTACAAGTTCCAATTGACATCGTAACAACTATACAACACCAAGAAAAACAATAAAAAATACTTAGTAGCACTAGAAAACGCCAAGATTAAACAAAACAAGAGAAAATACGCTAATGATGACAGCGATAACATAACAACAAGATCTCACCTGCCTATGAGGTTATTCTTTCCGAGCATGAGCATTAGGAATGACACGGCTAAAGTTAAATTTTTACTTTATTTAAATCTAGGAATATTCTTTTATATCGTTTTTTGTAATTTTTAAGCACATTAGTGTATCTATTTTATGATACACGTGTTGGTTGTTGTTAAATACTTCCAAATCCTTATAAAAATAAATTAATTTGAAGTTGTTCATTTGTATAATCTCTGTCTGTGTAAATAGTACACAAGGGTCAGATTCGATCTGTAAAATTTCAACTATGACAAATGATTGTGGGTTGCCTAAATATGTGACGTCACACTAAAAGAGTCTATCTTAAACACGTATTACAGCGTAATCATCAGTTAAGATTATGAGCAAATCTGTCACACTTGCTTTTTTTTTGTAATAAATAATTAAAACGAAAGGAACAGATATTATGAACTCCGAATTTTATATTTATTTTTTAATATTAATAAAAAAGTAATATAGTTGTACTTAAATTTATTCGAATATGATATTGTTTTGAAAAGTACTGCAAATGGTTGAGCTTAAAAAAATAATAAAACCAAAAAAAAATATGATTTAGACTGCTTTCTAATTAGGTTTAGTTTGTTATATTTGATTTTTTTGCAGTATGATGATGATGGCAGTTGAGCTCCCTATAGATCAAACTAATAAATCTTTTTTACCTCATCTTTTAATGGATGTCGCGCTATCGAACTGAAAATATTATTTTCAAATATTTAAATACTTTGAAGATTGTCCTTTAAAAAGGTACTTTTCATTTATTTCGACAAAATAAACAGTTACATATTAATAAAAAATTGGAAAAAGTAACTGTCACTTTGATAATATCATGAAATATTATTCCGGGATTGTTATGAATTTCATTTTGGATTTGTGAAGTTTCAGTTCTATGGTATGACAACTCTTAAGATTTTGAAATAATGTGTTGGAGTCGGTCCCTTTCTAGATATCTTGTAGCAGTAAAGATCAAATCATGGAGATATACGTAATACACTGTGTCACAATTTCATCAAAATATACATGTCTAGGTTAGGAGCAATATTAGAAAGTAAATTATAGGGACTTTCCCCATACAACCCTGAGAAATTAGTAGAAACTTACCTGACACCCTGTATACTTTTTCTTATAAAAATTTTTATATCCCAGCTGGTCCTGCCCAAGCAGAAAAACAAGATTACGTTGCATCCAAATTTGGACTCGTCTACGGAGCAGAGACAGTGCCCGAGAAGGCAGTACAGCAACCCGACAGAACCGCAGAGAACAATTACGGTGCCGACGCCAACGCCTATATCGCTCTCCTTCATGCCCAGTCCCAACCGCACCCGGCGCACGTCCACGAAAATGGGCAGATCTGCCCGGGAAGCCCGTCCGATCAAGAGGCCACAGCACCTGTTCCTCAGCTGGCCCAACCAGCAGAGTCCCATGGACAAGGTGAGGCATCTGCACCCAACAACCATATTCTCGTTGTTGGTAGCGATGGGAACATATACGGCGTGCTGACTAACAATGGGCCAGTTAATTCGGCGGTTTGATGAATCGAGTGTGGACGGTTGAAAATGTGATGGTAGTTTAAATATAAATTATTTTTATATTTATGTTGTTGCGTTTTGTTAACAGTGTCACGTGCTGGTGTAAGACTGTTATACGTTTAAAATTTATTAAAGCATTCAGTTGAATTTTTAATTTTTTATAAAAAAATGTTTTTAATATACTTTTATGTAAAATGGCGTCAAAACTAATTTATCCTGCACTGATATACAAGGTGAGTCGGATTTTACGTTGGACCCAGGAGTTTGAAAATGAACAGTTTTTTTTCGCATAACGGGGTGATCAAGTTTGAAGAAGTCTATGTTATATATTTGCTAAACCAATGTAGATATTCAAATTAAATTTTGTTTACATCATACCTGGATAGGTAGCCTTAATTTGTGTATTAATATAATGTCTCACAGCATGTGTAAACCAGCAGTTTCACTATGTTGCCGGCATTTTGATATCGTTCAGCCGTTTTCGATGTCTTTGGATGGCGAAGTGCTGATCAGGATCAGGCCGTAATAAGAATTTTTTACTATTGTAAGAAAGCATATTAAAATAGATAATAATAGTAATAAACATATAATTTCAAAATACTAAAATCATTAATCCGAAAAATTACCTTAGGTAGCTTATTTGCTATCTGTTAGTGGCAATATGTTATGTTACAAATTGCAGAGAGTTTCAGAACTACTTTAAAGTAATATATGTTGCTTGTATCTTGTATGATGATGATTTACTGCTGTTTGTTAACAAGATTCTCAAAAAAAGTGTTCTAAATCTCTCTAATAATTACATTTTACATCAAACTGTCGGAGTCTGTATCAAATACTGACATAATTCTCAAAAAACATTTTTGTATCATGCTATTTAAAATTTCTTAACATTAACGCTTGCAATTGTATTTTATATTTGTATTATACAACCTTTGATTACTTTGCATATTATCCTCAGCATGTTATTTACTATATTAAAAAAATATTATTGTGAGTACATGTTTTTTGCAGATTAAAAGCAATAACATGACTTGTATAATTCCCGGACGAACTCTCATGTGCACAAAAAATATTTTATTTTTAAAATGTATTGCACATATCAGTAAAATATTTTTATTATCATGTAGACTTATATATATTTTTTTTAATATAAACATACAACTAAGAAATATTTGTTCATGTAAAAACTGCACATTTCACCATTTTCACTCATTGTGAATTTTATCAAACACAAATTTGTAAACTAAAATTTTTAAATATATCTGTTACACACAGCTGGCAAATTCTGCAGGTTCAAACCGATGCGTAGTCTGCTATGCGCGTCTTACGATTTCCGCTCATCTGAATTTGCTGGTTTAAATATGCTGTGATAACCTATCTGCAGCACTGAATTAAGTAATTTTACATTTTTTCATAAAGCCTTCAGTTTAAAATGAAAACTGTTAAAAAATTTTTATATTGCAATACAAATATAATGATGTTGCAAAAAGCGCGTAGGGAAAAGTGCTTTTCTTGTATTCAGCTTTAGATGAATTTTATAGCAAAATTATATTTTGGACCAATTTGTTCCAAATTTTAAAGACTATATCCGAATTGGTATAACAGAAATATTATTGGTAACATTAAAAGGATAGAATTTCGTTTGAACAGTTGAACAACGAAAAAAAAAACAACTAATTCTTTTTGCCGTTTTATAGAGTCCAAGAGGCTTTGACGATTAATTAAAGTCAGATAGAATGGAGTGGTTGTCCCCTTTTCATATAATTACCATAAAATCGTATAATGTGGCAAAAAAAGTTGACCCGTATTTTTTGCTTTCGCGTCAACTAATTATTTAATTCGTAATTTAAAAAAAATGTAACGTAAAATGAATTTGGCGAACAGTTGTGACGAACTAGATTACCAAAGCCATTTATTAATAAGAAGCGCTCAAATAAAATCTCATGCGTCTGTCCTTTTCCATGTATTTAGTAATACAAGGACAGAGAAAAGTTACAAACACCCCCTTGCCTTAAAGAATTATACTGAAAATTTTCCAAAAGATTTTTGGATCCTAATTAGTTCCAAACAGTAACAAACACATCTATCTGATGATGAGTCATTTAGGCTTTGAATATAACTGCAAAAGGTAATAAATGTAATTACTGTTTTTTTAGCTTAGTCTATATCATTTGGTATAACCTTCGAGCATATACTCCTAGAGGCAGCCATCAGTGATGAGAAAGCGCGACTGGTGTGCGAGAGAGAAAGGAGAATAAAAGGACTTGCTATCTCTCTCGTTCCGCGAGCTGGATTGGTCGGTGCGTGCTCCCCTCCATGCCAATGACCGTCCTGTACCCAAGCCCACACCAATCAGCTCGCGGAGCGAGAGAGATAGCATGTCCTTTTATTCTCCTTTCTCTCTCGCACACCAGTCGCGCTTTCTCAGCACTGAAGGCTGCCCCTAGGAGTATATGCTCGACGGGTATAACTATCTCTATGAAACTTCCTTTAGTAATTGTGACGGTTTTTAATATTAATGATGTTACCCACTAAACATTTTTCAGTTTCTGACATGTTCCAGAAACGTTTCCATTTTTCTTGAAACGTTTCATAAAAAATCCATGCAACGTTCTGGTAACCCAATAGAAACCGAAGATGTCCTCCCCAAAATACGTTTCCAATGAAACGTTTCAAAAAATTGGTTTCAGTAACATTCTTTTGATGTTCCATTTATGCACTCGATATTTTTGTTTTACGTTTCAGTATATTTTCAGAAATGTTTGAGTAACATAATAATTTTTATACCATATTGTTCTCATAATGCTCTCAACTTTAGATAATTTCCGTTTCAGAAGCGTTTTTGAAACAATATAAACAGTGTGAGTAATTTTTTAAATATTTCTAATACTCTTTTGTAATATATTGTGAATGACTTAATTCGTAATCCAGGCAATTTTTTCTGATTTTTCAAAAATTTTAACTGAAAAATGTTATTGTATATTAAAAAAAATAACTGCTTTTCTAGTTTGGGGATGCAGTAACTTTTATCAAGAATTTTTTTCTTTTGGAGGAGCCACTGAAAAAGTTTCTAATATGGATTACGGATTCTGCCATTCATCATACAAATAAAAATGTCACAAAACAATATCAGAAGCGTTTTAAAAAAGCTACACATCATTTTATATTGTTCAAATACGCTTCTGAAATGGAAATTTTCTAATGTTGAGACCATCATGAATATGGTAACAATGACGAAATGATAATTAAAAAAATTAGTTATGATAATGAATCTTGAAATGGTAGGTACATGAAAAACAAATAACATTACTGAAAAATAATATAAAGAAGTTACAATTTCTTCTACGCATAGTCAATATTACATCTAACCTTTTTATAATAAATTTTACAGTAGAAATAAATAAGATACAAAAGGATATCTTGAAAAAATAAATATTTGTAGGTATACTTAAACTCTTTTATTTAAGCATTCCTATACACGTACACAAATATAAACATTTGTACAAAATATAAAATAAATGACATATATTTCACTTGATTCTTCCGTATTTCAAATAGTTCTCCGAAACGTATAGTTCCATGTTCCATTTTTTTTAGTTTTTGTCCTCTTGTCTTTAATAGGTATTAGGTAGTGGGTATAATAACTATGTTTAGGTAGATGTGACGCAAAATTCGAAATCTCTACACATATCGTTTTAAACATTTTGCATCAATATTCATTATTTTATATGCACCTTACAATAACCACAACTGCACACACTATAAATTATCACATAAAATAGCATCAAAGTAACGATCATGGAGACTATTCTCCCTGGTAACGATGAAGAACAACGAAGCCAGGCAAACGGGTAAAGGCAAACCGCAAACCTAACCTAACACCTAACATAATACGAATTGAAAACGGCACACGAGAAATAAATAAATTCGGGCTGTTACGCGCGGTCTGCGCAAGTCACGAACATACATTTTTTCTAGACTTGTGTTATAAATATGCTACCACAATTTTTTTTCTGTTTATGTCTGGTTGTACATATAACAAAGGCAAATGAACTAACGCTTGCTATAATGATGGGGCTTGAGAGCAAAATTTAAGTAATGCCGAATGGAAGTTCCATAAGATAAACAAAAGCAAAGGGTTGTTTGTTTGTCGTTGTTACGTTTCCGAGATCGAAAGGGAATGTTTCGAGTAATGTTTCAAACTCTCTTCAATTGGAATGTTTCGGCTATGTTTCACTAAGTAAGTTTTCAAGTGCTACATTTCTGTAATGAAACAGCAACGTTTCTAGTTATTGTTTCAAATGTGTAGTAAAACAGCTCATTTGCAACGTTTCATTTACGTTTCGTGTTTAGTGGGTACAATGTCAGAGGTACAGCATGTTACAAAGAAACGAAAAAATAGAACGACGGCACAGATCGCACTGGTGCTCTCTCGACACTGTTATTTATATTATTTAGCATGTATACAGGGTGTCCCACCACGAACTCCATCGATGGATATCTGGGAAAACACTCGAAGGATTTTTTTGAAATTGTGGTGGTGTGATACGGGCCGTGGGTCCTACCAAGATAAAACATTTCCAAGGACATCGTACTTCCGATTATACTGGAAGTCAATATCAACTTTTAAACTATTTTAAATGGAACCCCTTGTATATTATTGCATTTTTGGAAAGAGCATTTATTTTCAAGTTGAAAACATAGCACACTCCATACTTAGGATTGACCGTTTCTGAAATATTTTGAATTTTAGACAAAAATTTACAGGTGTAGATTGTCAGCAAAATTTAGTTTTCTCGGAAACACAGGTTTATTTTTTTATGCGAATTGGACATTTTGTAGAAGAACTAATTTATCGGATTTGACATGAAAATTTTATAGTTTTTATACAAGGCGGTCAAAAAAAATTATCGAATATGAAATTCAGAAAATGTGGAAAACTCGAAATTATTAAGTGGAAGCCCCCAATTTTTTTAATATATTCCCATTCTGCACTAAAATTGAGTGTAATTTTGTTACAGCTTCCTTATACCTAAACCCAGTCGTTTTGATTTTATTTACGAATAAACATTTTCCTTTTCCTAAAATGGTGTTTCCATTTGTTTCGCACATTTTAGGTTGGCCGTGCCACTTGTCTCGAAAATTTCACATCATAAATCTATCTGGATCGAGTCACTCCAATAATGGGAATTACGTCTATTGAAAAGTCAAGTCAATTTTTGGTGAATTTCGCCTCATCAGTCCAAATAATATTATAAAAAAAATGATTTTTTTTGAAACCGTACCAAAATAAATTCACAAAAGTAGTAAGTAAACGAATATTCCTTCTCTGTAACTTGTATGAGATTATTCTATATAATAAAATCTATGGCAATTTAAAATCATTTTTATAATCAAATCAATATATTGATGTAGGTATACCTATTAAATTTACTATAGCTAATTTGACCAAAAAAATCACCAATATTTTGGATACAAGAGTTAAGTTGCTACAATGTTTTGAATATCTTACAAAAAGACAACAATTTGTATAGTATAGTAATTACAGGTCATTAACTTATTTAATATTGTCAGGGATCCTGCAGGGATCTAATCTGGGTCCTTTATAATTTCTATTATTTATTAACGATCTTTATCTGATTCGCTCATTAAAAAATTGTAACTTCAATATGAATTTTGTAAAGTTATTGGACAGGGTTGATACATATATAATAAGAAAAAGTCAATATACAATAAAATAATAAAATTCAATTTATTTTTACTTGCTCCGTATTATACAGTTCAATAATATTTTATGTAAAGCATTTAGGTGTACTTTTCGATTCAGCATTGAATTTTGTGCTGTAACATACTCAAATTAAATATAATGAGGCAAAGAGTCAGGTTTTATTATAAGGAACTGAATCTTTCTTCAATTTTCACTTTTTTCTCCAAAATTATGTATCTAAACTCTAAAGTTATTTTGTAGAATGAATATTGGTATGGTACACAAATTTTTATTCACTCTGTAAAAATGTTTGCAAGTTGACACCTACATTTGTTTCATTTTAGTAAACAACTATAGTCAAATTTATTTTGAGGGAAAATGTCCGAATAAACGCTTGAGATTGAGATCCAGAATTTCGAGAAAATGATGTTCAACCGTTAATATCTTGAAAACAGTTGACATTATACAGAGTGACCCATTTCAGATCTGAACACCCTGATAAAAGTTGTATTTATTAATTAGTTTTGATCAAGTTTTCTTTAAAAGGTAGAACACCAAAATCTGTAGTTCAAATAATGTTCTGGTCGATATCCAAAATCTAGGCATGCAAAAGATATCTCACCTCAGGCAAAATTCTTTACATGATATTGCGAGACATAACTACTCTACTGACTATATGCCCCAATTAGCACTGAATTATACCAGCAATATCTAGTAAACAAGTAGTAATTAAAATTTTTTCTAAATAAAATTAAAATGATGTCTAGATATTAATTCAAAAACACAGATAAAATGTGCTTTATATGTAATTATGTTCTATTATAGTCTATCCAATATCAATTGAAGAACCAAGAGGATGGCAGTATGTACCAAGTTCGGTCGCTGACGCAGTAACTTGAAATATTTGAAAAACTTGTTCCCATATTTATTTAGCCATACCCATATACAGGTCTGGTCGAACTAAACGTGGAGGTGGTAGAAATGTATACGCCCAGTTGAAGAATGCGAGCACGGGCAAACGAAATCAAATACAGTTACATTGAGCCACTGGGCAATAAATCTTAGCCGTTGATATGTGGTCGACAAATTGCCCAGCAGTGCAGTACAGCAATGCGGAATTTGGTGTGATTCAGGTAATTTTAATTTTAGACCTTTTGAAACGCAACAAAACTAAATTTACCACCAATATAATAAAATTGTTTGAGGACATAAATAATTAATATGTTGTTGGTCAATTAAATGTATAATAGAAATTTTCTGCACATTATATACAAATTATAATTTTGTGCCTTTATCAGAACTTTTAGGGACGCTTATGAAACTCATTAAATTTTATTGCCAGGCGTTTTTTACATGCTCAACTGACTTCGGAAAGATTATAACATTTATTAATTCCAATTGCAAGAACGTCACTTGAAATCCTAAAGTAAAATGCAGAAATAGAAATGTCCTATCTATCACAGCTATTTGCATATAAATCTTTGTCAAGGGTGATATTAGAGCAACAAGAAGATATTTCTTTCGAAGATTACATTATTTAACAATTTCAATATTCCGATGTAGGTATAAAATAAATAGTAATATAATTTCTTAAATTTTAGCTACAAAAAAACGTTATGGTAGGTCTTGATTAGTAAAAATAACATATGGCGTTTTGTTTAAAGCTACATTTGTGTTCTGCCTTAAAAAAAAAACCTGGTTAGATCTGAAATGGGTCACCCTCTATAAAAAAATTCTAACTAGAAAAAGTCTTACAAATGAAAATTCTTCCCAGGAGCATCAAAACAGGGATATGTTTCTGAGAAACAAAAAAGTTCAATAAGATGGTAAAAAAAATATGAATTACATTTATACATACTTTATGAACTTTTATTTATTTGTAAAACTTTCTCTGCAATAAAATCTTCCTGGGAGTTATTCGTTAAAATGATGAGATTAAACCTCTCCATCAAGTTATAAAAATTGATTTGTAAAATTGTTAAAATAACCATAACGGTTATAATTTTCTTTTCACATCATCACCATTGATATCACTGCTCGAGCCATTTTTTATTGGTGTATCTGGTAACTGACTCATGTTGTCCCAGTTGATTTCCATGAAATCGATTACGATTTTCTTGTTCTTTGGTATGAACTGTCTGAAAAGTTAAATCATGAGTAGAAAATTTGAGAAAAGTAAACATTGATTTTTGGTTGTTAAATCAGCCGTTCACTTTGAGGTAGACTTGAGAGGTTATAGGTCATTCGATATACAGGACAAAAAGGTCCGTCTAATCGTTGACAATGTCTACAGTTTTAAGGAAAGTTGGGTCGTCCGCAGCCAGGGGGCGGCACGATCAACATCATCACATATAAGAAATTATGCCTTAAAAAGAGGCACATAGTTACTTAAACTGTTATGGTAATAAAATTAGGTATTATATGTAATAAATAATAATGATACATGCGTTATTTCTTAGATCTGATGGCATCGATTGCACTGCCCCCTGGATCCTGACGGCCCACAAATGTCAAAATTTGTGGGTAAGTGTCAATACCTTCTTGGACTTGTTTGGTTGTAGTCACTGTCACCAACCATAAATTACAAAAAAAATAAAAAAACTAAACAAATTTGATATCTTTGTTAATGTTTTAAGCACTATATACATAATAAAAATGTTAGTTTAAAATAATAATTAAACAACAAAATGTTATTTTATTGATGACTTGAGTAAAAAATAAATGATTTTATATACAGTGTGACCCACGAAGAACTAGGACGTCACAAACTTTTAGTATCAGTCGACTTACCTATATTTGATTCCCACTGCGTCAAACATCCTTTTAGAGGCAACGGTATGATTCTTATGAGCATGCTTGTCAGACATATAAACGACTTCTTTTATTCCCGATTGAATAATGACCTTAGCACATTCATTGCAGGGAAACAGAGCAACATATAGAGTACAGTTTTTCACATCTGCGCAATTCTTGTTAAGTATGGCATTCACTTCCGCGTGACACACTAAAAAGATGTGACGTAATCGTGAAACATATATAGCCCTAAAAAACTTACCATAAAATGATTTATTGTCTAGTGGATCACTGCAATCCTTTGACCAGGGAAATTCATCGTCATTGCAACCCTTGGGCATTCCATTATATCCAATACCAACAATCACGTTGTATTCGTTTACGATACACGCACCAACTTGAGTTACTGGATCCTTGCTTCTCTTGGCAGCCAGAAAAGCTGTGGCCATGAAATATTCTTGCCAGTCCAGGTATCCCTCTCGTTTTGCATTCCTTCCCCTATAAACAAAAAAAAATCTGTATAGTCTTACAAAATATCTAGAAGCAATTTCTCAAAATAAATAACATGAAATGGATACATTTAAAAGAGTGTTTAATGAAACGTTTACCTTTTTTGTGGAGGTGTGTTCATTTTAAACTGGGAAATTAAAACAGATCTGCAATTTTGAGGTTATAAATTGACCCTGGCACAGCCGATCAGCTGTTAAACGTCACCAGAAAACCCAGTGCAGCCCTTCGCGGCGAAGAAAAGAAAAACCCTGCGTGATAAGCGACAACCGGCTGTCATTTTCCAACATGGCAGAGAGCAGTACGCGCTACGTTCATGTTATGGAAATTTTCCCGTGTTTTGTGTAGTTGTAGTGCTCATTAATTGTGTTTGTGTGTGAATTAGTGGAAAGAGAACCGTACGAGATGGCGGATTTAACTAAACCCCCTCTTAGTGATATAAAACACCCCGAAGAAGTGGTGAGAATGGCTATGAACGATAGTCTCAAATTTGCGGTCCTAATAGGGCTTATCGAAGTCGGACAAGTTTCCAATAAGGAAGTTGTCAACACGGTCCTGCAACTGGTATGTTTTTTGCAAAGCCCACCTTTTCTAAAATTTATATTAATTACTGGGCCTTTAACACGTTAAAGGTACATATTGAAGTGTGTTAAAGCCTCGGTGTTCCCTTCTAAAAAAATGTAAACAATTTATATTGAACAAATATTTAGTAATTATTTCGTCGTAAACAGTAAAAGTGCTGTGCACCAATATTGATAATCTACCTGTTTTCGAATATTTAGTTTGCCGACCTTTACCTATCCATATACTGTGTGTCATCGTCGTTTTCGGTGTAGTAAATTGTAATAACTTTGATTATTACATTTTGTTAATAACATTTTTTTTGTTACCACGTAACACCAATAAAGAGGGCAATGAAAATATATTATTACTAGTTAAATTTAATTGTAAGAGAATTACATTTACAACTTAGTGTTTAAACATGGAGGTAATTATTAGTATTATTATAATAAAACTTCAGGAGATGCCTTGCCAAGTAGGTAGCAATTAAATATTTAGTAAAATAAGAGATAAACGTGTTTAAAAAACAAGCTTTGTTCAAACATCTTTTCTAAGAAAGTGTGATATTCAGTTGTATATTTTTGGTTGTGCTTGAAAAATTAGCAGTTTAACAAAAATATTTGCGATTTTAACTCTTCCACTTTGTTACGCAATTCATATTAGGTATTATGCTTACTGATAATTTTGCAATTAGTGGCCTACATTATTTCAGAATTGCCTACATACCTACCTTGTATATCTGTTTATATATCTGCCATATCTGATTGTAGTATAATTAATCAGAATCAGATGTAATTAGTATGTGATGATAGTGCTTATTTTATACTAAAATCAGTATTTAAATAGAACTGCGCCGTAATAATCAATCAGTTATACAATATATGTAGGTGTATTATAATAGACTCATTGCACTTTTATCGGTTATACCTACCTGCAACCATTTTTGAACAGGTACTATCTCAATTTGTGGAATCATTAATGCACTTATTAATGACTGTCAATATGAAAAGAATGTGATTTTAAAAAATCCTGTGTGGCGTGAATTTACTCAGATTTTATTTGTAAAACCGTACTAAGTAGTCAAATACTATGGACTGCTTTCAAAAGTCTATAGAGCAAATTTAGATGTCCCATAGTGTTCCAATTTGGACCTTTCTTGTTTCTGCATTTTCTTAATGATATTTGCATCATTCCGAGTATGCGTTGTAGTAAAAAAAAAATAATTTCTCGCTTCACATTAATATAAAAAAATGTTATTCTATTTCCTTGAAGTACCCGTAAAAACAATGTTACTCGCATTTTATGCTTATACAGAGTCTTCATAAATCACAATCACAAGCCACGTAACCAGTAATTTTGTTTGGAACAGTAACTTTATTTCCTTCACGTTGGCAATTAAATTTCGGTAAAATTAAAAATTATTAAAACAATAAAATCAAGACTATGTACATGAAAATACAACATTCTGTTTCACCGTCTGGTGATTGGTATAATTTTTCACTAGATTTACTTAGCCAATCAGCTATCGCATTACCTCGAAACGTAACGATTTGTGAATGTTCATTATAAACGAATATTGGTGATTGGCAGTACCAGCCCTGCAATGTTGGTTGCCTAAGTTCAGCGGTTACGTGGATTGTAATAATTTGTAAAAACTCTGTAAGATGGATAGTACTTATTTAGGCAGGGTTAATAATGTTGACACTACAACGTCGTTTTGACAAATTCATATATACTTCTTATAAAGTTCTTTGTTTTGTGATGAGGAAATCACTCGGGGGATCACGAAATCTAAAGAATGTTACCTAAAACACTTGTCCCTTCACTTTGTTAGGTCAAATCTTGATTGTGGGCAAAAAGAACTTTGCTTTGCAATCAAATTAGCATTGGAAAAATCTGTAGGAGCTATATTAGTATACTTACCTACAACGATTTATTCTCCAGAAATAAGTCTGCATAATTATTCAAGATTTTTAAAGAAATATCTTAACATTGACAGTTATAACGTCAAATCAACCAGTACGTAATCCAATAAGGACTTGAATAAACTATTTACACGTTTATTAGAAATAGATTTCCCGAGACTTACTATCTGTTACAGTCTTTTTATATATGATGGAGGCACACAGGGCACTCTATAGCGCGTCTAAATTGCCTCATTTTATAGCTATAGGCATTAATAAATAACATTAGATACGGACACGAAATTAAGTATTTACAAGCAAATAGAAGTGTGATGATAAGAACGTTCTAGTAACATTGGATTGATATTATCTATTAGGATTCTTTTACGAGTTAATTGCAAGATAGTCAGGTACATATGTAACATCCTATTTATTCTACATTGAGAGAACAACCTGTTTACTGTTGATAAGCCACTTTTAATACCAAATGAATGTTGTCTATTAAAAAATTGGTTATTAAATATTTTAACATTTACTTAATACAGGGTGTCCGGAAACTAAACCGACAAACGAAGACAGCAAATTCTATTCTGTGGATGATTTCATATCGATATGATAAGCGTCTTATCCAAAAATGCTTCCTAAGGGCGATATGACTCTTCGAGGGTGACCCTTTGACACTCTTTTTTCTTCGCTATCTATTCAGAAGGATCAAACTTAGGTTGATATGTTTGTGTTTTCTTGCACGATAGTTACAAAATTTCAAGTTTTTTAATAGAATTTTACTTTATTTGTTTTGCAAAGCCAACTACTAAATATTGGGAATTAATTTGTAATTTTGTAACAGTTTAAATAGATTTTCTCGCATAACCACAAGAGTACCTCTTCAATATAATAATTAGACATATCTGCTGACCCTCCTAAATGTGACGCTTATGGTTACAATTAAAAGATTATTTTTACATTAAAAGGCTGTCCGTATAAGAATAAACACATAACCTAAATTTGATTCTTCTATATAAACATTGATCTGAACAAAAAATCAATGTCTGTTCGTAGCGTCCGGGAAAACCGGGAATACCGAAAAAGTCAGGGAATTTGTTATTCTTCATAAAAAACAGGGAATAGTCAGGGAATTTTAAAAATATTCATGAATGTCAGGGAATTTGATGTTTGCAACTGGAAATTTTGTGAAAGCCTGCCCTGGGTTCTTGAAAGAGAAAACTATTTGTGATTTTGAAACCATTATAAGAGGTTCTTAGGGTATAAAAAAGATTATGGAGTCTAGTCGAGAAAAAATTTAATGCATAAACCAGTTAGTATGTAAAAATCGAGGTAAAAATGAACTATAAGTGACCTGGATTTTTTTTATGTCAGGGAAAACTTGGAAAAGTCAGGGAATTCTTTATTACTGTTGAACTATGAACCCTGTCTAGGGGCCATCTTCAAAGAGTTCTTAGGGCACATTTTTGAATAAGACGATTTATGTCATATATTGCTGCATTCGTTTGTCGGGTTAGTTTCCGAACACCCTGTAGAGTGAATTTCTATTTAGACACTTAATTTGAAGTCATTTGTTCTATGCAGTTTATAATGTTCAGGTCTCGGTCTAGGTATATCAATGATTAAACTAGAATATCTATCTAATAATACTGCCCCCTAATCGCATGGCATTGACTTTATCTTGTCTATGTAAATAAATGAGTAAGCAATTTCAGGAAGGTAATTGCCTTTTATCTTTTGTGGATTTGATTTTTGCGCTGTTTATAGCTTTTTTATACTTCTGTTATTTGGGTAATTTGTGAAGCAAATACATAGGCTACTTTCCTTAGTGTCGCGTTTAGGTAATGTGTAAAAACATTTATTTTTACATGAAGACAAACATCATAGTTTTTTTTATGATCATTGTTTCATGATGATATACCTACTTTTTAATTGTATTCCAACACCCTGTATTAGTTGCTACTAACACTCGTATATTAATATATTAAGTATTTGCCAGTTCACCGGCAAATCCTTTATGATATATGTATATGTAATAATATCTACATAATTAATTCCAAAAGTGCAAATATTTTTATATAAAATATTTTTTTACATATATGTTTATTAAACAGAATCTTGTTTCTTCAGTGAGTAAAACATAAAAACAAGAATAAAATTATCGTTTCAAATTACAACCACTGTTTTTGTACAGGTGTATATTATTTTGCGCTGAGGCAATTTTTAACACATAATGTTTGAAATTATCTCTGGAAAATCGATCACGATTTTGTCTTGACATTTTGGAACAAAGTGCCTGAAAAAAACGTATCTTACCAGACAGTTCATAAAATTGTAACTTAGAAAACAAAAAAGAAAAAAAAAAGCAAGTAAGTAGGTACCTGCACATCACTCCTGTCATTTTAAATATATATTTAGCGATTTCAGTGTCTTCGTAGCTTTCATACTTGTCGGACAAATAGACAACTTCTTTGATTCCCGCCTGGCTTATGATCTTGGCAGTTTCGGAACTTGGAAACAGAGTAACGTACATTGTACAGCCTCTCACATCCGCTGAATTTTTGTTCAGTATGGCCGTCAGTCCCGCGTGGCATACTGAAAAGAGATTATTGTTGATAACAAACTAAATCTAACTTGAACAACCTAAACTGTCAGATAGTAAACCAAAATATTATCTTGCTGACAAAAGGTGAACAAATTTAAGATACTGACCATATGGGTACTTATTTCCTTTTATTTCGGTCGAGTTCCTAGCCCAGGGGAAGTCATCGGAATCTTTGGGCATCTGGTTGTGACCCACGCTAACAACTACACCGTGTTCGTTGACTATACAGGCACCTACTTGAGTGATCGGGTCTTTGCTTCTTTGGGAGGCCAAGAAAGCGATGGCCATGAAGAAGTCCTCCCGGTCCATGTAGTTCTCCCTGATGGAATTTGTTTCTCTGGGAAAAGAAAGTATATTTTTATTATCATCTGTAATATAAATGTCGAGGTAAGGGCTTACATCTTCCGCGACATCTCCCACTGACGTCACTATTAGTAGTTTAGTCGTAATCATTCTCTAACGAGTTATCTAAGGATAATTGATCGTTGCGCAGATTGTTGTTGACTTAATTTTCTTATTCTATTTTCTAATCAATATTCTCGGCAACTGTTATAGTATTAATTGTAAAGTATAAATATAATTTTGTGTGATAGATAGGTATGTGTTTATTATAATATATCGCGTAATTTAAACAAGATTGCAATTTGAAGTTGGATGGATAATTATTCATCAGGTGGAATTGTAGATTCATTTGACTGGACTAAAAATATAAAGAGTGCGAATGTTCAATTCTCGATTTTGATACCTACATATCGTTTTTTTAATTGGTTGAATTCTCTATCGAATGATATATCTGTCACCACTCAAGTAACGTCACGAGCGAGTACTGAGGCCTTATGATTCAGGTGGAAACAACATTGTTCTATAATTTTTATTTTTATCTTCGAAAAGGTAAACAGTGTCGCAATAAATAATTTCAGACGCTATCCTTATCAAAAGCTTAATAGATAATTTAGATATCGAGACATAAAAACTTGACATAAAACAGTATAGGTATAAATAAATCTAGATAGTTTGGTATGGTTGTCTTTTGACTTACATTGTTATATCGGTTAATTTTCAAAAACAAATATTTGAAGTAATACATGTGTTTTGAATACCTATTACTTTGTCGATATACTTTTGTAACTATAGTTAAATTAATAGTCAATATCATAGTTAAAATAATACCTCTCTACAGGAAATTATGTGTGTTGTCTGTGTTATGAATTCTTTTTTATCTGCCTATGGTAAAAAATATTTAAAGTGTTATTTGTCTACAGAAATTCACTCGGAAATTCAATTCAGTATATTATTTTGCTATCTTATTATTTTTTATGACAGTATGTATAGTTGTAGGTTGCAAAAGTTAGGTATTTTTAAAAGTAAACATACATTGTATAAACTTCAAACATTCATAGTAGCACTATTTGTATATAAGTACTTATATGGCTTTAAAAGAAATACTTCATTATTCGAACAAAAATCAACTTATGACACTTCATTTTTGACATATAAATTACTATTTGATTCTTACCTCTGCATGTTTAAAAAAAATGTCAGCTTTTTTTGTCACCTTTGAACTAAAATCACCCGTCTTCGCCTCACTACAATATTTTTATGAGAAAGAACGGTTTCCGATAAATCTACATCAGATAATCATTTTATCGGGTTATAGATATTATTTTTTTATTTTTTCGTATTGCATTCGAATTATAAAATCCCCGAGGTAAGTAAATAACCTCTCTAAAACTCTGATATATACGCTATGACGCCCTGGCGAAGTGTATGTATGGCATCCATTGAAATGTCAAAAACGTTACTCTGCTGTGATATTAATTTGACAACAGTGTATTACGATAAGGGCGTAGTATTTATAGATATCCGAGTAGATATCAAGAATGAGCTCATTCAGTTATATTTAATTTATAACTCGTTTTTACATTTTCCGCAGAGCATCTGTGATGTCACAAGCACTTGATTCTTTCTAGTTATTTATTTTTGTTTTTTTTCGTTTACTGGTATTTTTCCACCCATAAAAAATATTAAAGAAATAATTGAAGAAACCGTAGTACCAAAAGAATTAGTTAAGGGTTATGTTAATTAAACTATTTTTGTCTAATCAAAAATCGCACATTGAAAAATGCAGACAAGTAAAAAACACGCGTTATAATATCACGCACTTCAATTGAAGACTCTTGTGTAAGAAGGGGATAAGTCAATGTTTTTAAATTATATTTCTGCAAACATAAGTTTAAAAATGTACTCATTTTGTCTGGTGCGAGTATGGAATCTGTGGACTTAACAGAAATTGAACTTTAAATTAAAATCATTTATCCTACTACCGTGCTACTGGTAGTTACAAATCACTTACCCCCTTCTTGCATCACATATGTGTGTCGTTTTTTGCGATTGGTATTTGTTCTGGCCATTTGTTCGTCTTCAATATTATTTTTGTCGGTACCTATCTGGTAACTTTCTAACATTTTTCTTAATTATGTACTGTCTATTATTAGTCTTATGTATGTTGTGTTTGTGATGAGAGATGACCTTGGAACATACTGTAGGTAAGACATAAAAATAATTCGCACCAGTTTTTAAACGGAAAAAGATAAATATTTACTTTGCCGGTATCAGTTTTGATAATTTATATCTTGATTACTCCTTTTCTCGATATTGAAAATATGTGTGCATTTTAGCAAACAATTGTACAAACTTTTATATAGTCTTATTAATGGAATTATATTTATCAAAACATATGTATCATAACGTCATCCTTGTTGCCAACGCATGATGTACTTATGTCAGGATGATTAGCTTAAATAATCAAGTTGAAGAAGGAAAATTTGTTGGCAGCAGGTTGCTTGATTGAGATGGTAGAAAAAAAATTATATGCATATTCTTTATTTCAAAATTTGTAACATGATTTTTTAAGTATAGTAAATAATAAGAATAAATAGTTTTTTCCTTTGGCTCATGTTATTTTCCGCCGCCGTAGCTTGTCAGTTCATGGTGTTTGAAATGATATCCTTGAAATTAATTTCAATTTTTTCCTGATTATTTGGTACAAATTGCCTATAACAGAAAGATGGTACGAAAAATAATTGCTTAAAGTTAAGGAACACACTGTCTTGTTATTTTAAAATTTATTACTACCTAAATTTGACACCTGTCTTTTCAAACATCTTTATTGCTGCATCAGTTTCTTCCCACTCTGTATATTTGTTGGTCAAGTAAACAATTTCCTTGATACCGGCCTGAGCCATGACTTTGCCAGACTCGCAACTTGGAAATAGAGTCAGATACATGGTGCAACCCCGCACATCTGCAGAATTTTTGTTTAGTATGGCAGTTAGTCCAGCGTGGCACACTGAAAAGAGATCATTATTAACGCCCTGTTCAACAACACGAAATTTCAAAAGCGGAAAACTGCAACAGGTCCATTTGACCTATCTAAATATTGGAACCAAATTAATTACATTAGAATTAGTCTAACCGAGGATTTAATGCTGCTTACGTCGTTGACTGTACGTGCACGTTTTGCTATTGGTCTGGTATCTTCAGAGACTTACAAATATTATAGGGTTGAAAATGTTAGTGAATATACTGACCGTACAGATACTTGTTCAGTTGTATATCTTTGGAATCTCTTGCCCATGGAAATTCGTCAGAGTCATGGGGCATATGGTTGTGACCAACGCCAACCACGATGCCATCTTCGTTGACGATACAGGCGCCGACTTGAGTGGTGGGATCCTTGCTTCTTTTCGCGGCCAGATAGGCAATAGCCATGAAGAACTCGTCGTTGCGCATGTAGTTGCTCCTCATAGTGTTTGCTCTAAAATTAAAAGAAAAATGATTTTTTGGAAGTTTTGTTTTTGATGACACGACAGGATTTAAAATTTCAAAAATTAAATGTTTATGTTTTGTTGACATAAAAATTATATTAATAAATTGTTCTAGCACTTACGCGTCCATGTTGAAACACCTGTATTTTTTGCCAAACTTTTGACGTAAATCAATTGTCGGTGCAATATGTATATGAGCAAGGAGGAGTTGTAATTAAATATCTATACAATTCGACAAAATTATTTATAATACTTACTCCTAGAATCAGTTATAGTACCTACCTATGCAAAAGATAAACAATCGTTTTATCAGGAGTATAGATATTACTTTTATTTTTTCGGAGGATTAACCTAATGTTAATAATTAATACTTATATCTACGCAACTGAAAATTGACATTTATTAATTAATTGGGTCATTTTTCATTTTGAAGTGTGTATGAATTTAAAAAAGTGTTAAAGCACCTCCTAATGCTAAGAACTATTAATACCACCTTTCTTATCTTTAGCTCCCATAGAGTGTTCCTATCGATAATTTTACATTACCATGTAAAAAAAATCGTACACCTCACAAAATAACTAGGATTAAGTACGGAAATTATCTTGGATATTATGAAACTTTTATTAAAATCATGAATTGTATGCGTGAACATATTTTCTACATAGTTAAATAGTCTATTAAATTGTTAATCAAGATCTTCTTGTATAATTGTCTCGATTTCTACTATCTTCAAAGTCTTAGACTTCTCCACCCGAGTGCCATACAGTTATAGATTGTAATTTGGCGAGTACATGTAATAAACTTCAAGTTTGTATAGTTGCTCTATAATACAGACGTTCCATTGCTTGCATTTATTGTAAACGAAATAAAATTTCAATAAATCGCACAAATTTTCAAAAACCAAAAATTTGTCCTAAAAAATTAAACGGGCTCTACGTTCCAATAGCTCTTGCAGCTCACCACCTAGGCACCTAGCTATGTTCTGGGGAGATTTTCCCCTCTATTTCAAGTAGTAATCACGCTTCGATGGCGTGTTTAAGGTGGCCATATTCCCGGCCGAGAAATAGTGAAATTTCTGGCGTTTTTAGGTACTGAAATCTTTAAAAGTACAAGTAAGCACAAAAATGAAATCCTTGATGTTTTGTTTATTCATTGTTACCATTTAAATTTACTCAAATAAAATAATAACTAAAAAAAAAGCGTTTGTAAAACATGCGTTTGCTGTTATTCTAACCCCACATTTTAAGAATTATTTTCACGTACTTATAAATAAAAGTAAACAATTTTATATGTAGGACTAAGCAAGTAAATGTTATAAGAATATTTACATGTGGAATTATATATAAAAAAGTTAGTATTTTCGTAGATTTCAGTATCTAAAACCTTGATGGTTTGATCGCTTTTTGCACCTGTTTATTCGTTTTACTGCGGCATCTTTGAAAATACCCAGATGGCATGACATAACATTCCTATTATTTGATAAGCTTTAGATTATTCAGTTATTAAATGTTTGAAATTATTTGTCTTTGCGGAAAACACTATTTAAAGAATATGGGGCCCTTAACAGAGAATGTACGTAGAGGTTATACGCTACCACTGATTCAGTTAGATTGTGTTGGGTGCCAGAACACAAAGGCGTTGACGAAAATGAGAAAGTAGATGAACTTGCTAGGAAAGGATCCGAAACACTTGGCGGATGTAACTTTTCTGCATATCCTGGGCGAGTGCCCAGGAATTGCACCATTTGGACTTTGCAAAAAGGACAAAACTGCTTGCTGAATAATCTTTTTAAAATATTAACTCCTTTACTTTTCATATTTAGTTTTTTTTTTCGGTGGATAACTTTTTAAGTAAGTAAATTTGTTAATTAAACCTAACGTAGCCATTCTTGAAGTATGTCACATTGTTAACTGGATTCCCTGTACGCATATTCCGTTTTTGTAGTTACTTCATTTCCGCTACAATCAGCGGATCCATCACTAAGTGGATTATTTTGTTATGCTGCAGAAATCAATATCGGTAATTGCATAAACCACCCCTGTCATTTATTATGAAACAATACAAGCATTTGCACAACATGAAATGGATTCATATTGACCTCGCATGATATGATATTTCACGGTTTCAAATAATTTGAGCCCTAGCTGTTATCCAGAGTACAGGGTGTGGCGTGTATAATCTATAAAAATTAAACTACAGCCTCCTAACGATATTCGTAGGTAATAGAAAAGTCTTATATGAAAAAGTTCTATTTTTGCGTTTCTTTTCGTAATTAATAGTAACTACTATCTTAAATGCATTGTTGTTACTGCAAGAGTTTGCAAACAAAACCACATCCGTAAGCATCTGTAGTTGCCAACTGCGTGTATTAAACAAACTTCATTAAAATATGGAACAAAATGAAATAAAACTTACAATTTCTAGAGAAAATGTTGAAATTGATCCCCATTAGTGCGGATGCATGGCACCGACGCACCCAATTTTAAAAACCATCTGCAAAAACTCATTTGTTGGTCACAATCCGTGGGTAAAATCTATTGAACTGGTTGCAGATGATAGGGGTGCAACAGCTGGCGCCTTAAGATGCGATGTATGGTACGAGATGAGGTTTCTACTTGCTGTGCGAGTCGTCGAGTACTAATTGTGGGGTCTTCGTCAAGATTTTCCAACACTGCATCTTCAACATTGAGATTCACTTGCTGACCGCGTCCGTCTCGAGGATAACACTTATCTGGCAGCTGCTGAACTCACTGTAGGATTGTATTTACACTTGGGGGGTGACGTTGTGGCCATCATTCCCGGTACAACCTTATCGCCGCGAGCGCATTTTCTCCGGCTGCACCATACTCTAACACCATATCGACACTTTCGGAAATAGTAAATGCATTGTTTTCTTGGTTCGTTGTAAAACTAGTTTGTGCACAAACTAAGCAAAGTAAGAAATAAGAATATCGTTTTTAATGTAATCGCACGCTATTCTTATTTTTTACTTCTTTATAAAAATTACACTCACTATCGTGGAATTACAAAATAAAAACTTTTGTCTGAAATCTTTCACTTTTTAACACTGATGGGTCGATGGACGATGCTTAATATTTAATAATTGAGTGAATAATTAATTCAATACAAATACAAAATCAGTTGACTGCACAGATTTTTTGACAATGTAACCTAACCTTCTTTTAGTATTACTAGTATTAGATTATACCGACTTAAATTATAAGGTTGCATCTCGGGTCGCATAAAAACATTTCCCACAAGGTCGGCCTTCATTTTCGTTGAATAAATGAACCTTAATTTACAAAAAAAAACGCAAAGATAGAACTTTTTCGTATTCTTTTCTATTATAAATATCATCAGGAAGCTGTAGTTTAATTTTTATAGATTATACACGCCACACTCTGTATACGTTAGATATTAATGAACTAATTGATGAAATTATAACTAGGTATAGTTTCTATAACTGGAAAATTATTAGAAGCCGCTGTTACTTTAAATATTTTTCTTGTAAAGTTATTTTACAGGTAGTAGATGATGTTTTTTTGGAACACTGCATTATCTTGTGCATACGTATATAAGTATTATATCGTAGAAACTAATCAGTTGCTTGTCGAAATTTTTTCTAAGAACGTAACTAATTAATGAAATATCAGCATATAACATTAATATTATTTTATGGCACAAAAGATATATAAAATATTTCAAGTACTTGCCTATCACAAAAAAAATATAAACAACATGCATCAAATTCGCGTGAAAAAGTTGTAGAAAATATTATTTTATGGGTGTATGGATGATTCTAAATAAAAACATTTTATTCAGAAGCGCCTGACTAAATATTACTTTAAATTTTTAGCACAGCATATACAGGGTAGGAAAGTACCGATGGTCTATCTGAAGTTCCGTGAGAGCGATAAAGTAAGCCATAGAAATCCATGCAATAGAGAAGGATGGCTATAATGAAGGCTTCTCTTTGTCACCGCCCGTTTCGCCGTTCCACAAACAAGATCCACTTCTTATTTGTGGAAGGGCGAAATGGGCGTTGACTATTAAACGCCTTCATTATAGCCATCCTTGTCTATCACATGGATTTCTATGGCTTACTTTATCGCTGTCACGTAACTTCTGATAGACCATCGGTACTTTCCTACACTGTATAAGGAACGGAAATTGTAAGAGCGCATAGCAGACTACGCATCGTTTTCAGTCTGCAGAGATCCTCCACAATTCACAATCAATCGTTTTTACGTTTTTATAGTAAAAAAAGTTTTCCGGGATATTTATGAAACAAAAAAAAAGCAACTTATCGGACTGTAGTCCATTAAGAGGCATTTCTTCGGCTATGTTCATATTAACTTTTTGTCTCATTTTTATTCACTCACTGGGACATCCTATATGAAAAAATGTGTATTATAGTTGACTTTAAATGCCGTAGCAACAACTAAATTCTTATTGATAATAATTGTTATCTGTTTGTCTGTTCGTATGCTCTTATGAACAAAAATAAAACAAAAATAAGGTAATAAATGACAATCAGTATTGGAACTGGAGGAGGTGGTAAATTTTCGCCATGGAAATTTACCGGGACTAACGTAACCCCATCACACGCGGCGCCCTCTTGACGACCATTGTACACCCTTTGTGACGCCTCGTCGCACCAGGAACTCACTCAGTCATTGTGTTCGGAATTTGATCCGGTTGCGGGTGAACCCCCTGCTCAGATGCTTGTATTCGCGCGGATGGAGACTCGCATGGATGGAAAATTGGTGGGTCGCTTCGGTATTGGTCCTAAATAGGCTGTGATAGAAGCCTGATATTTATATTTATTTACTTATTTTCCTTTTGTGACAGTAAGATACTTTTGTATAGGAATAGTCATAGAAACTTAAATCTAATATCTAACTAAAACTAATATATTCGATTAGTGAATAACAATATTTCTTTTAAAAATTCGTTTAGCCCTTTAAAGACAGTTTCTGTCATACTCCGTCTTACAATTATTTATTGAATATTTTAAGTCCCATGAATTTGGTAGTGTTGCCAGTTATTTTTAATTTAGCAGAAAGTTCATGCAACTTGTTCTTTTGTCTTGCCCTTCAAATTTTGTAAAAATAAAATATTCAAACAAATAATGGTTTCCTTTTATAATGTATTTAAAATAAGGAAAAAAAACGAAACAACTACAAATTGAGTATGTATTGTATATACTGACAAACTTTATCTATATATTATCTTTATCTTTGCCCATAAATA